AACCAAAAAAGTAATCATAAAACTTTAAAACATGTATAAGCAGGTCTGCTTTTGGTCATCTAATTAAAGGATACAGATGTTCATAAAGGGAAATACAAAACTTGCAGCTTTCTCACCAGAGGCAAGGGTGATGTGCTCTGACTGGCTTAAAATGCACCCTCACAGTCCAGTTGTTTAGAAGCTGTGCATGTAACAGCTGAGGGGGCAAAAAATATTCTGACAGTAGTTCGGTTTCAAAGTTGCCTTGCAGATAGTTTTCTGACTCTCCAAGCATACTGGAATTGGCTAGAAGCACCATTAGTGTGAAACAGTATTAAGGCTTTGATAGTGACTTTGATCTTTACGATTGTTCCTGGTACTTTATCTGCATTTGTGACCCTTGATACTTTATATCATGGTTTACTGTTAGCATGATAAAATCAGTTCTCTACTACAGCTTTCATGGACTGTATCTGTGAACCTTCCCCACTTTCCCTAATAGGGATTAATTTTTCCATCTGCACTGCCTGCCAGACTCAGCATCATATATATAAGTACAGACCTACTAGCCTGTAAGACTGTAATCACCAGCGAATGGTTTCGCCAGCTTTCTGTGTCCAACATGTTTGTACAGTTTGCCTCCTGATGCCTCAGAAGCACATGGCCAGGGTTTTCTCATTACTTCCTCAAAATACTTGTCTAATTCCCTTTATACTTTGCATTTTATACATATTAATGCATTGTGTTATATCTGTATGTGCCTATTATCTCCACTAAAGACACAGGAGGAATAACTGCTAACATTCTTGTTATGTAGCCCAGTAGACACAAAGTCGAAGAATCCCACTTGGGCCAGACATGGCAGTGCATATCTATAATCCCAGCTCTGTGACAGGCTGAAGCAAGAGGGCCACAAATTTGAGCCCAGCGTGGACAATTTAGCAACTCAGCAAAATTCTGTCTTAAAATAAAAAATTAAAACTGATCAAAAAATGGAAGAAACTAAAAAGGTATAGAAATTTGTGAGGATTGTTCTAGAGATCTTTAGAAAATTCAAGGTTTTTTTATATTGGAGAAAAATGGAGCTTTGTATGTACAAAATGCTTTTATTTGTAAATTAATATATATAATTCTCAGAAAATGGCAAACTAGATTGAGGATACAGTTATAAAGAACAGCAGCAAATATTAGAATCTTATTTCATTGAAGGGAAACTAAACCTAAGTAAGGTAGAAAAAAAATTTTTTATATTAGCAAAAGAGATGAGATTGATACCTTTCTTGATTTTTTTCTTCAGAGGTAAATCTGTACTTGCTGAAAAAGAAACAGTATTGGTCATGGAATGTTTATGAGTCACTATAAAAGCATCCTTTATTCTGAAGGCACAGATGTATTAAAAGTGGAAACAACATTACTAGTGTAAATTATGCTTTTCAGTCAAGGATGATGATGTCCTTCCTCCTCTCTGTAGCCCCACAAGACATTCAGCAGTGTTGGAGTCACTTTGGATTGTCTCAGCTAAAGTAATGTAACTAACATCTGGTGCATGGAGGTGGGTTGTGCTGCCCAGAATCTCAGTGGGCTGGAGATGTAACTTTGTGGTAGAGTACACTTCTCATGTGCAGGACCTTGGTTCAATCACTACCATGGCAAAAAATAAAAATAAAATAAAAAATAAAAAAATACACAGGCAGATATCCTAAAACTCACACTTCAGGCCTCACAACAAAAAAGTATCCAAAAATTGCTATTAATGCTGAGACTGAGAAACCCTGTTGTAAGCTTTGGGATTTTCTACCACTTAGCATAACCCAGCTTAGCATGACTGATACAGCAACTTAATTTTAATTTTACCTTCATTTTATAATAGCCAGTACAGAAATAGTGGAGCGTAACCAATTAGGTGTCCTAGTAATTAGGAAGATAGAATTGGAAGAGATATTATTTATATATGAGTGTTTGTCTCATGCCAGGAGATAAGATTTTGAAAATGTTGCTCAGAAGTTTCTAGTCCCAAAATAGTTGCAGATATTTAATATGTATGAAAAACAGACAGAAAGGTCTAAAACCAATGTGATTACACAGCAAATTCTCCTGTAAACTCAAACATGTAAATAAAGGTTTATCATCTGAAGATAAAGGTCTTTTACACCCTTCTAGAAATAAGATTTTAAAAAACTAAGATCCAAAATTAACATAATTTAGGCTATCAGAAAACACTAAAATCCCAACAGGTTTTTCGATTTGGCTGTATTTGCAGCAAAACCAAACAACAAATGAATTTCTTACTTGATGCTTGTGAACTACATAGAGAAGGCAGAACAGCTCAGTAAGGACTGCCCGTCAACACTGTCATTGGGACCTCGGGCTTCATTTGCACCCACTACTTCCTATTCTCCTGTGATAGCTGATCCTCTAGCAGCTTTTTGAGGCAGTGGGTCTTTTCAGCCCTAGTTAATAAACTGTGTATGTTCTTACACTATCAGTATAATACTTACCTATGTTTGCTGTTTGGAATCACCCCTGCTTTCAACCATGGAATGACTGTACCTGTCCCCTCTTAATAGAGCTAAGCAAAAATGTGATGCTATTTCTAGGGTGCTGGTTCCCAGTCTTTAAATACTTTCACTCATAGGCCCACTTGGTTGATTATTCTCTTCTAAACCTGATTATCTTTAATTCTAAATTTAAAACTCTGAAGCTAGGTGTGGTATCACGTACCTATAATCCCAGCACTGGGGACCCTGAGGCAGGAGGATTGCTGTGAGTTCAGGGCAGCCTGGGCTACATAGTGAGTTCAAGGTCAGTTTAAAATCCATAGCAAGACCTTGTTTCAGAAAAACAAAAACTAAAAAGTTTAAAACTCTGGATTAAAGGTAAGGCAGACTCTTTACCACATATCCCACTACTCCTGTCATATTTACTTATGTCTCAAGCAAGAAACTGGGCCATAAAAATACCAGTGTTGGACAGGCATGGTGTTGCAGACCTGTAATCCCAGCACTTGGGAGCCTTAGGCAGGGGGATTGCCATGAGCTTAAGGCCAGCCTGGAGTACACAGTGAGACCCTGTCTCAAAAGACAAACAAAACAAAAGAATTCCAGTATTATCTATAACCATAAAAACTCCATTTGGATAGATGAGAATTCCCTCATTATACTCTTCCAGCTGTCTTGTCTACCTACCCAAAGTATGTGCTGGATTTCATTACCTGTTATCATGTCAGAGTCACCAAATCCACATTGTAAATAACCTGGGTATTCAATGTAGATACCCCAAGTTTAAAGAATTGCTGCCAAGCCCTGGTGGCATGATAGTAATCTTCTTGTATAATCACCTTATAGTCCTCACTGTTTTGAGAGGCAAGAGACTTAGTAGAAGTATAAACCACTAGTGAAGCCCTGTTCTCTCCCTTTAATTCAGTCTGGTGGTAAGAATCTTACCTGATGTTTTATCTTTATGTGAATGTGGTGGCATATATAGCAGTTAGATCACATTCTTGAATTATTCTGTATCATTCTCAATTATTTGTAAAATATTTCAATGAGATATTCTGAAATCAATACAAGGGTGATGAATTAATGGTAAAGTGAGACAAAATTTGAGAAGAATTTACAGTATAATATGACATTTACAGATTGAAATATATTTTATTTATAGATTTCTAGTTTTTCATTTGTTGCCCTGAATTAGTTTTATGTTGTCAGAGTACAACATTAAAAAAAAAGACCCCTAAAGAATTGACAATTCACAAAATAATACAGAGCAAATCAACATTCTTGAAAAATTAAATACTATGAAAATATCAAGCGGCCATTTTACCCTATTAAAAAGCTTTTGAGGACCAGGATATAGCTCAGTGGCACAAGCACCTGCCTGGCAGATGCAAGGACATGAATTCAATTCCCAGTACCAAAAAAAAACCTTTTGACATTTTGTGACAAGAGTGTGCTACATGTTCATTATAGAAAAATAAGACAAAAATAAAGGCGGAAAATGTAAATGCACACTCCCATCACCGTGGCTATACAATTAACATCACATTATATTTATGGCTTCTTGTGTCCATGCTTAAAGTTTATCTAGTAGCCTCCTGTTTGATGCACACTTGAAGTTTTTGGGGGGGGGTTTTCTTGTGAGTAATGCTGTCATAAACATCCTGTGTGTGAATCTTCTTTTGTGTATCTGATTGTTTTGTTAGGACCAGTTCCTAAAACTGCTTTTGCTGACTGAAAGCATGTTGTACTTTTAAGGCTGTTGGTTATCTGTTGCCGAACTGCTGACCAACACAGGTTACATCTAGTCTGTCATTCTTTTATGCATATAATTTGTTGTTTTTTAAATTTTTATCAAGTTGTCAAACTCCCAAATGGCATTTTATTGTTTTAATTTATACCTATTTGATTACTAATCAGAATTTACTGTATGGTATAATAAAAGATAACAAATTAATCTTTATTATAGGAGTTGGAAGTGTAACTCAGTGGTAGAACACATACTTAACGTGCACAAGGCCTAGGTTCAAACCTCAGCACCAAAATAAAAATATATATACATCTGTCTATCTTGGTGCCTCATTTATTTATGGGGAAAAAATGTACACACCTGATTATTCAACAAAAAGAGAAGTTATGATGCTTCTAAACAACCAGCTAGACAGCTGTCAAAATACTCCATGTATGAAGTATTTTTTCTGGCATAGGACAAACGTTAGATATTTGATATTCAAACAGAGAACATAAATGGACCAAGTAAGAAAGATCCTGGTAAGAAATAAAAAGCCAATTGTTAAGTTGTTTTTTAAGGGGCTGGGAATTTAGCTCAGCAGCATAAGCGCCTGCCTTGCAAGCAGGCAGTCGTGAGTTCGATCCCCAGTACCGATAAAAAGGAAAAAGACAAAAAAAGAAAAAAAATTTGTTTTTTAAAATGTACACTTGCTTGAGAAACTACTGTTGGAATCATTTGAAAATGTAATGCTATTTATACTTCTTTTTCTGTTTGTTTGTTTGTTTCCTTTTTAGGTTGCTGCTGTTGATCTTCTTGTACCTGTAGTTGGGGAACTTTTTGGTGGCAGCCTCAGGGAGGAACGATACCATATCTTAGAGCAGCGACTGGCCAGGTACTGACAGATGGGATCTCAGATTCAACATGACCATGAGCAACCTCTTTGAACCCCCCCCACCCCGCTTTTTTTTAAGTACATGTTTGCAGTACATAACACATCTTAATAATTTTTATGTTCGTTTCCCCTTAAATATCACATAGCTTTGTCCTCAGGGTAGGTCTTTGGTCCCTAATGCTGAAATAAAGAATATAAAACACTCTTTTAAAATAGGTCCACAGGTTCACTGACTCCTACGATGGAAACAGAATTTCCAGGATGCATCAGTGAAAAGGATGTGAGAAAGTTCATGACAGATAGAAAGATAGGACACATTCAAAGAATAAAGTGTGGGTACTCCAAGATATGAGACCCTGAGCGTCCCTTTCTTAAAGACTAGAACTGTTATAAGAAATAAGCGCACAACAGTATTTGCCTTCTATTTGTAAATGCCTCTCCCTTCAGAAAGTAGCTTTTAAAACTGTCATAAAAGGAAGAGGTAGATTTCTTCCTCAGAGCTTGCCTACATTATCCCTTTACCTGAGTTCTTTTTTATGTTCTTACGCATGAATGGCAGACTCCCACTGGGACATAAAGAAAGACCAAAGCAGGAAACGAATAAAGACAGAAAAAAGAAAACTACTGAAAATATCTGTGAAGCTAATGTTTAAAATAAGCAGATTTCCCTCCTCGCGTTCTCTACTGTGTACAGATCTTGGTTCAGCTCTTTGAATAACTTTATTTTAACTTACCGTTTGAGACCTTGGAAATGAATCCATAAACCCATAAAAAGTGTTTTGGAGAAGGGAAGTAGAGAATCATGTTTCTAATTGAACTACCACTCCTGTATATGCATGGTCTGCCAACAAACCACAATGACTTCCTAAACTAACCAAGGTTATAAACCTCTTGTTTTCCATGATTTCCACTTTTCCTTGCCAAACTTAAAAAAAAAAAAAAAAAAAGGAAAAGAAAAGCTCCCACATCTGTATGCTTAATCCTTCTCTCCAGATAACCCAATGTTTCATCATAACTGGAAAAGCCATAATTGTTTAAAAGTATCCTGTTAAACTAGCCACTTGTAAGGCCTCCTTTTTCTAATGGAAAAAATGCTTCAAAAGTTTATATTTTTCCAAGATCCCAACCTATAAATCTGCTGGGTAACTTAGTTGTAAAATCACAACCTTTTGAGCTACTCCATTAGTTTAGATCTGAAGAAAAGGAATAGATAGTTTCTGGAAAACTTTATTATTTAGGCACCATCTCTTTACAACTACCAGAGTATTAGAAAGTCATGGGAAAGTTGTGGAATTGAAGTAAAGGTCAGACTCTTTAGTTGGAAAGAATTTGATCATTCTGTGGAGTTTTTTTAAAAGCACAATAAAAATTGCACATGGCAAGAAATCTAATCTGGTGAAAGATTAATTGATCTGTTTTCTTTTGCTTGCTTCCTTCTTCAGGAAACCTTTCCTCATAATATTAAATGTTTACCTAATATCCAACATTGTCTTTCCTAATGAAGTAGATACGTGTTTTCCTACCTCACGGTCTATCTGTGGCTACTGGTCATATTGTCTCTAATTTTATATATTTAAATTTTTCAATGTGTCTATCACTTCAGGTACAATTTAGTCCCAAACAGTAAAGGACCGAGATAAATTTTAATGAGTGCCGAGACCCTAAAATTTGTCACATTTCTTAAATTAGACAAGAACCAAATAGCAACAGTATTAGGAAGGCACCCTCAGAATTTGTACTATTCTTTTACTATTGGCAGAATGAAAATTGTACCAATGTGTTCCTCTCTCTGTGGACCTCCCTGCCACCTTAACTAGTAATAATAGTGCTTTTTTTTCTGCAACAAGACAATAAGCTCATCTCAGATAAATCACATCTTGAAAATTCTGTCTTCATTTTAAAGGATTTATTGCCTACCACTTATTTCATGATAGCTTTATATAAAATATCAGCTTCTGTATTGCATGTTATTGGCAAACACAGGATGTATTGTGTACTTCTTTATAAAGAGCTCTTTGCACACAACCCACAATAAATATTTTGTGGTTAATATCTTATTGCCATTGCATGAAACAATTCTATTCTTTTCCTTTTACAGGTCAGGACTTACAGAAGCCTACCAATGGTAAGAACGTGGCCCTTAGTGATACTTATTCTAGCAACTTGTCTTAATATCACATAGATTTTTCTTACTGTTATTCCAAACATCCTGTGGAAGAATGTTAAGGACTGAACAGGAGCCTCCAGAGATTGTGTGCTCCCTTTAAGTCTTTGTAAAATACTAAAAGTAATGATTGCCATTTAATTATCACTTATTGTGTGTCAGATAACCATGTTAACATTTGTATGTATACTCTCTTAAGTGATCTTCACCATACTGAGAAATAAGTACTATTATTACTTCCTTTTTTACTGCCCTTCTAATCCTAAAATCCAGATAGGTGACTAACCAAGGTGTCACAAATGTAGGCAGCTGAAAATTTATCTCTGAATCAAAAACTTTGATCAAAACCATTATACTTCAGTTTCTCTATGTGTGAAATTAGAAGCTTGAATTAAGTGATCCTTGAGTTTTCTAAGAACTGTACAAATCTGAGCTTCTTAGATGTCTGCACTCATACATTCACTTCCTCAAAGCTGTTTTAGTTTTCTTTCTGCAGATCCTTTCTTCAAGTCTTTCCCGATATAAATAAATGATTTATTTATATTTCCATGATCACATCCTTTAAAGTCTTGGTAGAGTGATATCAACAATATGGTAATCCATGCCATCCTCAGGATGAAGAACATAAAAAATGCCACATTTGATTGGTAATAAAAGGATCAGATTTCAGAGGCCAAAATCAAGTTCGATAATGACCTTTAATTCCTTACAGATACCAGTAAATGACCTTAGGCACACTTAATCTCTCTGAGAGCCTTGATTTCCAGGATGGTAAAATGGAATGATAATCCCGGCTTGAGAGGGTTGTGAGGATGAAATGCAGTAATACAGGTTGGGAATGCACACCGGGTGGAAGCTCAGTGCTAGTTTCCTGCCCCCTTCCTGCTTTGTTCTAAGTCTTGGTACCTAGTAGAGAAGCCTCACTGAGCAAACTTACACATTTTTTCCCTCTGGATTCTGTCTATGAGATAACATTCATGGGGTGTAAAAAATAGTCATTTCAATACTATCCTCCCAAGTAAAGTGTTCTTACTTACAATCTCCAAATATAAGTATTTATGATTTGAATTTGTTATTTGTAATTCTTTTTACATGATAATCATAGTATAAGTAAAGGAGATCTTAGAAGGGCTGGCGCTGGTGCCTCAGTTGTGTAGCACTTGCCTAGGATGAGCAAGGCCCTGGTTTTAATCCCCAGTACTGTTTTAAAAAAGACCTTAAAAATCTTCAAGTCTGTGATCTGTACTGGTTTTCATTCTATCAGTAGCCACACCAGGTGTCTGTGTACTCACTTCCTATCTCTGCATGCCATATGCAAATAAGATCTGTAACTAGTTGTACAAATTTTGTACCTCTTCTATAGCTGGTTATTGGTTAACAACCATCAAACCATCAAACATCAAAATATATTTGTATGTTTGATATATGTATATGTGTATGTGGGAACATGTATATGTGAGAACTTTCCTTAGTAGTGGCTTTTTCCATCTATCAAACTGATAAACTGAATATTCTGCCGAATTCAGTTGATAGACTTTCATGTCAGTGTTTTGCCATCTGTGTATGAGAAATTAGGAAACATGTAAAACTATCATTGGACTTCCAGCAACAGGCTCAGATGCTGCAGGTGTTTATGACAAGAGGTTTGGTGTGTCTTTCATCTCATTTCATCACTAAACTGAAGTGTATACTGATCCCATGCCTTGTAAAGTTAAAGTAAATTTAGCTATCAAATAATTCAGTGCTCATTCCGGCAGCACATATACTAAAATTGGAACAGTACAGAGATTAGCATGGCCCCTGTGCAAGGAGGACACACAAATTTGTGAAGTGTTCCATATTTTTTTTGTTTTATTCTCTTTGAAATAAAAAAAATTTTAAAAATGTAAAGTAAAAAATAATTTAAAAAATAAGCATTTTAATTAAAGACTTCCATTATTCCTCATAATTCTTCCCAAGCTGAACTTTTATACTAAATGACCTCTATCATATTGATCCTTCACTTGATTTTAGCACATCTAGTTACAATTCATCTTTTATTTTAGAAAAACAATCCATATGCTTAACTCTTTAAGTTCCCAGTAAACCAAGGCTTTATTGTAATAATAAAGGATATGACAGACAGTCTTTATGTCGGAGGAACCAAGTAGTTACCAGCTATGGAGCTTAATTCTTATTGCAGAACTGATTTTTACAAACCATTCAAGAAGGTATTAAAAGGAAAAGCAATAAACTTACTTGACTCATCTTCAAAAATTTCTATACCAAATGACATAATTAAAATATTTCTGGTTTTCCTGTTCTTCCTGAAATGTTTTTACTCCATGGTAGTATACTGGAATCTGAATTTCAGTCATGCCTTAACATTTCTTAGCCACCTGGTCTTAAGGAGGAATAGAGTGTGCATGCATGGATGGGATTAGAGGCTGTGCAGCTTGCCAGAAACATTACCCTAGGCGTCATCTCTGGGCCAGAAGCAGAGGACTGTATGTTTCTCTAGAGCATCAAGAATGAACTTCAGTTCCTTCAAATAATCAACTTTCATTTAATAAGCCCTTACTTTGGAATACTGTCTTAACGATAGAAAAGACTGATTGAGACCAGAGCCAACCCCCCATGTGATTTACACTCCAATCTTTCTGTAATATACCAGCCAAAACTCTTCATTTTCCCCTATGTCTTAAACAGTATGATTTGGTGGGGGCAAAGGAACATTAGTATTAACTTTCCAAGAAATAGAAGAGTAATATATTTTCAAGATAACTAGTAAACTTAAAAAAAAACCTTCTACTAAAGCCTTGTAAGAAAACCTGTTTTGTATAAGAAGACCTAAAGAACTTGAAAAAGGATCAAGTAACCAAAGTGCATGCCTGCCTAACAGGATCTAATGCTGCTTGTCTAAGTGACTTTGGATAGATAGGTCACTTTAACTTCTCCATTTCCATTATCTCTGTGCAGGGGAAAGATTGATGTGCTCTACCACAATGATGCAGATAATAACAGATGATTACAAAATGTTTTTGAAACATATTGTAATCATAACATTTCATCTTGCTGCTTATAGATGATGATTCTCTGTTTTTAAACAGGTATCTGGACCTTCGTCGCTTTGGATCTGTGCCACATGGAGGTTTTGGGATGGGATTTGAGCGCTACCTGCAGTGCATCTTGGGAGTTGACAATATCAAAGATGTTATCCCCTTTCCACGATTTACTCATTCATGTCTTTTATAAAACTGACAGTTTGGTTAATGAATAGTGCCCTGTGAAAGAAGCACTATACATATATATACCTTTAAAACTGCTTTTTTTGAATTTTAGAAATGTGGAATTCAGTACATAATTATTCTGCCATAAGATACAATGTATGAAAAGTAAAAATGATCACAATTTTCTTATAAAGCCAAGGATATTCCATGGAAAAACGATCTCCCTCTGGAAGAGGTGCTTATAGCACGGATTACAGATGTATTACTTCAGTTAAGAAAAAAGGAAGTAACCAATCCTGTAGACCCAGCTCTTTGGAGACTGAGGCAACATTACTTGAGCCCTGGAATTTCAGTCCAGCCTAAACAACATAGCAACACCCATCTCAAAAAAAAAGAAGAAGAAGAAATTGAACTAGATAAATGGTCTCGAAGATCTTTTCAAATTCCAAGACAAGATGCAATAGTATATTTTACTTTTTGTCTTTATTCAGTAGATCACTTCCTTCTATAACTTTTGAGAATCAGTAGCTAAAAAGAAAATGATGTTACATTTTTTCTCCTTAACCTATAATAAATCCCATGTTACTCTCAGTGCTTTTTTTAAACTTAACAGAAGAAAATGCTCTTCTTTAGCATTTTAGTTAATTAAGTTGCTATTCTGAATTGAAGTCATATTTCTTTGGGTAAAAAAAAATTAACGATAACCATTGATCTTTAATTATAAAAGCTAATGAGGTATTGCATTATTAAATTTACAATCATTGTTCTAGCTATTTTATACTAGATATTTATAACTTCTCTAACAGTTAATAAAATTTAAAAATAGACCCCCATGAAAAAATTTGTTTTTGTTTGTTTTGTTTTGTTTGTTTGTTTTTTGGTGCAAGGTCTTGCTGTGTAGTTCAGGCTGGCCTAGAGCTTACAGTGACCCTACAACCTGGGCCTCCCACATGCTGAGATTACAGGCACACACCATCACTCCTGGCTGAAAAAAGTTGTTTTGAAAATTTTCTTCATCCTTTCTCAGTATAATTTCGAAGTAAAACATCTTTAATCCAAAATGGAAATGATAGTAGGGCTAAGCTTAAAGAATGAATAATTCTCGGGTCTGAAAGTGGCAAGGCATACTTGAATGAGCTTTGGGAGTTTGCGACCTGACAGTTCTATTGTTTTTGGACAGTCTTCTTACGCTCTATGAATTCAAATGTCATTTTTTTCACAGAGTTCATACAGTAATTACATGAAAACGTGTGTGTGTGTGTGTGTGTGTGTGTGTGTGTGTGTGTGTCTAACTGATGCTGGGGCCAGGCACAGTGATGCACGCTTCTAATCCCAGCTACTCAGGAGACTGAGATGGGAGGATCACAAGTTTGAGACCAGCCTGAACAACTTAAAAATACACCATTTCAAAATAAAAATAATAAAAAGGACTGGGGTTATAACTTAGTTGTACGACACTTGTCTGGTATATTAGTGAGTTTTCCCATTGCTACATACAGTACCCAACGCCTACATTTTAAAGGAAGAGAAGCTTGATTTGGCATGTTTTCATCACGTCATCAGCTGTCTCCAAGAAAGAAAGATCATGATGAAAGGGTGTGGGGAAGCAAAGATGCTTAGTTCACAGATAGGAAGCAAAGCAGAGAAACGGTGCCAGAGAGGAAGAGGTGGAGGACCAGAGGGAGACCCCATGGTCATGCCTCCATGGCTCACCCAGACACACCTCGAAGTGTGGTCCACAAAGTTTAGGGGCAGATCCCCAAGTTGAAACTCCATCCTATTCATCAAACCTACCATGCATGAGACTTTGAATTCATCCTGTCAAGTACCAGAAAGAAGATGGGAAAAAATTCTTTATTTCTTGATTAGAGAATACATATTCCTGGTCTTAGCATAACTTAAAATCAAACACCTAAACGAAGGTGTACTTCAGAACCTTAGGGTTGGAAGATACCTGAGAGTTTGTCAAGGCTGACCTTTTTTTCCTTGATGCATTTTTTTTTTTACTTTTTAATTAGTCCATGTTTGTATCATAATGATTATATTCATTGTGAGTTGGTGCATATTACATAACGCATCTTAATGCATTTTTTTCATCTCCTTCCCCTCTCCCAGCTGCATTTTTCCCTATCCTACCTCCAACTCTTTTTTTTTTTTTCCCTTTTTCTATGGCCTATCTTTTATTTTGCACTTATATTTTAAGTATGTATCTGAATTATTTCACTTACCATTATGGTCTCAAAAGTTCATCCATTTTCCTACAAATGACACAGGTTTATCCTTTTTTATGGCCAAATACACCATTGTGTGTAAATACTACATTTTCTTTTTCCATTTATCTGTTGGTAGACATGTAAAATGCTTCCAAGATTTACCTATCGTTATTTATGACCTATTGTGATTGCTATAAACATGGGTATATATGTGTCACTGTAATATGATGTCTTTTATTCTTTTAGGAAGATACATAGAAGGGAAATAGCTGGATCAAATGACACTTCTAGTTTCAGTTTTTTGAGGAATCTCCATACTGATTTCCATAGTGGTGGTATTAGTTTACATGCCATCAACAATGAAGAAGTTTCATTTTCCCGAAAGCATCATCAGCATTTGTCATTATCTGATGTCTTGACAGTTAACCGTTTTTCTCCAGTGAGATAGAATCTATGTGGTTTTGATCTGCATTTCTCAATAGCCAGGTAATTTTTTTTTTTGAGTTCTTTGTGTATTCTAGATGTTTGTCTTCCATCCAATGAATAGCTGCCAAAATTGCTATTCTGTAGTGTGTGTATCTCTTCACTCTGTTTATTTACTTTGTTGTATGGAAGCTTTTTAATTTGGCATGACCCATTTGTTGGTTTAGTGTTATTTCTTGTATAGTTGCAGTTCTGTTCAGAAAGAACTTGCCTATGCCTGTCTCTTCCAGAGTTGTACGTATTTTATCTCCCATCAGATAAAGTATTTCCATTTTAATATTTAGGTTTTTGATCCATTTTGATTTTATATTAATACACAGTGACAGATGGGGGTCTAAATTCGGTTTGCTTTTGGGTAGCCAGTTTTCCCAGCACCATTTTCAAAGAGGGTATCTCTCTTTCAGTGTAAGTTTTTGTCCCCTTTGTCAAATCAGGTCACTGACTTGGAGTTGTTTCTGCATCTTCTGTTTTGTTCCATTGACCCACATATTCCACCCCCCCCCAATACCATGCCAGTTGTTTGTTTTTCCCACTATAGCTTTGTGGTATAATTTGAAGTCCAGAATTGTGATTCCTTCTGCCTTGTTCTTATTGCCCAGGTTTATTTTTAGTTTTCTAGGTCACTTCTGGTTCCGTGTGAATTTTAATATTGTGTTCTTTCATTCTGTGAAGAATGCTGCTCTTATTTTGATTGGAATTGCATTAAATCTGTATCTCAGTTTTGGAAGTATTAACATTTTGACCACATTTGTTCTGCCTATCTGGGGATACTTTTCCATTTGCTGATAGTCTCTTCAGTCTACTTTTTCAGAGTATTATAGTTTTCATTTTAGAGATCTTTCACTTCTTGCTTAAGTTAATTCCTACATATTTAATTTTTCTTACAGCTATTGTGAATTTTTTCCCCTAATTTCTTTCTGTGTGAGTTTGTTATTGATATACAGGAATGCTATGGATTTTTTGTGGACTAACTTTCTAACCTGTTACTTTACTGAATTTCATTACTAGATCCAAGAGTCTTTTGGTAGATTTTTGGGTCTTCTGTGCACAGGATCATATCATCTGCAAATAATTGTAATTTGACATCTTTCCTATACAAATCCCTTTTGTTTTGTTTCTTTCTCTTCCTTGGTTGGTCTGGCTGATGTTTCAAGAAATATATTGAAAAGTAGCCATGAAGACATACTTGTCTTGCTCCTGATTTTAGAGGAAAAAGTTTCAATGGCTCCTCATATAATATGATGTTGACTTGCATAAATGGCTTCTGGATTTCAGCAGTGTCTGTTGTGATTTCACTTTTTTCATTTCTAAGTGTCGTATGAAATTCAGGTTGGGGTTGAATTTACTTTTTTGTCAGGCTGGCCTCGAGCTCGCTGTGGTCCTCCTGCCTCAACTTTTCAAGTGTTGGGATTACAGTTGTGTACCACCACACCTGGCTGTCCTATAGGTTCTGGTTTGTTGTATTGGCATTAGTTTTGGATTCTAGGAATGTTATTAATTTCTTCCTTAGTTTCTCCTGAGACCTATTGATTATTCAAAAGAGTATTGATTAATTTCCATATGTTTACATAATTTCTTTTTTTCTACCTTTAGTTTCTAGTTTCATTGCACTATGATCTATTAATGTACATGGAATTATTTTTGTTCTTTTGTATTTACTTAAGTATGTTTTATAGCATGTGGTTTAGTTTGAAGAAAGTCCCATGTACTGGGATTTTCTACAAAAATGTGTATTCCGTTGTTGAATAAAATGTGTAGATGCCTATTAAGTTCATTTTTTTGAAGGTTTGGTTGAATTTTGATGTTTTGTTGTTGATTTTTTTTTCTAGTTGATCTTTTTTGATAGTGGGGTATTGTCACCCATTATAATTGTGCTGCTGTTATCTGATTTTTTTTTTTTTTTAATCTGGCTGTGTAGTGCAAGCTGCCCTTGAACTCTTATGTAGTCCTGGCTGACCTTGAACACATGGCAATCTCTTGCCTCAGCTTCCTGAGTAGTGGGCTTATAGTCATGCACCACCACACCTGGCCCTATCGGATTTTTTTATGTCCAGTAATTTTTGTTTTATGAAGTTAGATTATCCTAGTGCGTATATGTTAATGACTGTTATCTCTTCCAGTTCAGTTGTTCCTGTAACCCTAGGAGTGTAAGACTAATTTTGTCATCCAGAGGCATAGAGCCATGTTTATTCTTTAAACTATTTACACTGATGAATTATTAATTATATTTTATGAGTTTTATTAAACAATCAGTATTTAACAGGAAAAAAATCACAAAAATAAAATATTGAGTTTTCAATATTTATTGAATGTTTATAGGATATAAAGCATTAAAATTTTCAACATCAACCTGCTTTTGGTGTAGTATCTAAAAAAGAACATTAGAAATAAATTACCACGGGCTGGGCAGCGGCATAAGCGCCTGCCTTGGAAGCAGGCAGTCGTGAGTTCGATCCCTGGTACTGGTAAAAATGAAAAAGAACAAAAAAAAAAAAAGAAATAAATTACCATGAAACTACATGAAAATACCAATATCACACTACAAAAAAATTAATCTTTTTTTCAATGAACCCACCTAAGGCAATATACATGCATGACAACAGCACATTCCACACACGTGCATTGCTTACACTGGCAGCTCATGTCTTTTGCTTTTCTGGTCTTTTTGTAGGACATTCTTGACATCTGAGTGGTCTTGTTGTTTTGTCAGGAGATTCTTATTATGTTATGCAGTGTGTAGTTAACAGGAAAATAAAAGCAATAAAATAAAGAATTTCTAACATGTATTCAGAATAGACATCAACATTTTCAAATGAACTGTTAACTTCCTTAGAAAATCTAAAGCATAACATCAGAAATAAATTCCTATATGAGCTACAATAAAAAGACCAATAGAACTCTACCACAAAAATAAGCTTAGCTTCAGCTGTCATACACAAGGCAGTTTTCACGTGACAATTGTGTGTTTCATGCACATGTTTCTCACAGCACATGTACTTTCCTTTCCCGTGTGGCAGTCTTGTCACCTCTCTTCCTGTTATGTGAGGAGCTTCCTACTGTACTGTACAAAATGCACTTAGCCAGAAAATAAGATGTCAGTAAAATATAATACTAAATATGTAGTGATTGCTTAGAATGAACATTAACATTTTCACATTAGCTGTTTACTTGCTTACAAAACCTAAAAGACAACATCAGAAATAACGTGTGTGAACTACAGGGTAAACACAAAAATCTACCACAAACATAAGTTTTGCGTCACCTGTCACACCCAAGGTAGTTTTCACACATGACAGCTGCATGTTCCATGCACACCTACCACTTAGACTGATAGCACGTATGTTTTGACTTCCTGCACTTTCTTATGGGTTATAGCTGAAATCTTTTTTGTTTTCCTGCTTCATAGTAGGTCTTTGTGATGCTGCACCAGCCTGTTCACCTCTCAGCTCACCAGGATGCTCCACAATTTTTTCACACCATTCCCTGGGTAGAAACATTTTATTTTTCCTCTGGTGTAAATGATCTCTTATGAGCTCCAGTCCCAATCCTCTAAGAAAATTTCTCTATGATATTTTGCACTTGTTATTTTCTTTATAAACTATGAAACTATGCCACACATGTTCAGGATCTATATAAACACAACTATAGGCTAATGCTTTTATGTTTCAAGTAATCCTGTAGTTACTTCATAACTCATCAACAACATCTATTCAACCTTTGGTTTTGTCATACAAAGTTTCCATCTCAGGT